CTCTCAAACCAACGTTCCTCTCTATCAAGAATGAGAACATCCTCATTTCTGAAAGAGTGACCGCTGGCCTGTAAATGAGTGGCGTTCCTAGATTGCGATGTCTCAGTTTCGGATGGAGGACGGTTGGAAACTGGCGTATATCGTAACTGGCGTATATTGTAAGCCCACCCACACAGACCAATATTTGCGTTTTGACTCCCACCACCCACTGGAACACAAGTTAGGAGTGATCAGGACTCTGTACCACAGAGCAGACAGTGTCCCTACAAACCCAGGAGACAGGCAGAAAGAGAAATCACACACAMGACAGGCCCTGGAGCAGTGTGGTTATCCTGACTGGGCTTTCCTGAAAGCAGACAGGAAACACAGACACAGGAATCTGGACATATTTGTTAATAGCTTTATTTTGATGTGTGTAATATACTTATTACACTGTAAACAACAAATGACTCTTTGTTTAGTGTCAACCACGAGTTAGCATTTCATTTTTAAACAGTTTGGATATTCTGAAGAAGGAAGTGATATAGCTACTGAGCTGCGCTACGGTAGCAAAATCTGACGAGTTAGCACAGATCGACAGAACACCGGTGTTACACCATATTTTGTGACCAGTGGGGGCGCTGTTGCGTTTCTATTGACCCTTTGCACGTGATGTCATGCACCTCAGAAGACCGCCCCATTTTTCCATGTTGAACGGCAGAAACAGACGTGGGGCCATAAGATACTATTGATCTAGAGGAGAATCAGACAGTTGGTAAACTAATATCATTCTTTCCCTCCTGTTGATTTAGCTGTAAAACTGGTCCTCAGCTGCTGTGCAGTCGGCTGCACAAACAGACAAGGAAACAAACCAAACTTGTCCTTTTATCGTAGTCTGAAGCTGCTGCGCAGTCGGATCTGGAGACTCTGGTTAACTGGACCAGAGTGTCTCTATRGTTTCAGACCACTGTGCTGCTGGTTCTAAAATATTATAATCTGTCCGTCTGCCCACCTGCAGCCCTCAGTGTCATAGTGAAGATACAAACAACAGTGATAGCTGGAAATATAGTTGTTTTTACTCAGTGTTGAATCAGTGTTGTTGAGTTAAAGGTCGGAGGAGGAGATTTTATTTATTTATTTTCCCACGTTGATGGAGTAAACACAAGTTGTGCATTCAGGTGATAAAATCAGACCAGCTGATCATCAAAGCTGTTCATCTTTTTAATTTAACTGGGAATGGATCATTTCAGATAAGTATTGAACAGAAAGAAGCACAGCTCAGAGCGCTGTTGTAACCTGAGCTGTTTAACATGAAGAGAAGCTACTAGCTTGTTAGCCTGCTAGCCACATTGTCGGCTCTCCTCTTTGAGGTGCTCAGTAACCCGAAAAACATCTAGAATCACGTATAGAATCGACAAATAAAAATACATTAGCATTAAGAAGCAAGTCTTACCTTCACCATTAAGAGATATGTTGTCCCTCCATGTAACAGTAGCATCCTGTCCTGTCCCGGTCAACCCATCCAACAACAAAAACTGATAAACATCCACGCTTTTATATGCTTTTAAGTCAGCTCCAGTGTAGGGGAAACACCATTWATGACATAGTGGTATAAGTCATGTGGTGTGAATTCAGGCAAACTTTGCGTTTTGATCAAATCAACAAACACGTCCGGAGGGAGAAGATATGGGTCGATTTCTATCTAGCTATGTCCAGCTTCTGTAAATCACACTGTCTGTGAGCCCCAACCAGGTGTGTGACTTCCACAGGTAAATTATCTAAACTTGAACAAGTAGAAACCATGGCAAAAACAAAGAAACAAAAAAAAACAACTTCAAAAAACCATCACTGCCTTTCAGTTCAATACCCCGCTCTGTGTCTCCTGCCGTCCAGCATGGTGGTATCATGTGACTTTGTCACGTGGGTGCAAAGGGTCAATACCAGAACTTGGACRAACATGGCCACAAAGAAGAATGTGAAATGTCAAAAGCGTAGGCTAGAGGCTGAAGACATACACAAACAAACAAACAAACAAACAAACTGTTGACTGTAGGCCTGTCACGATAACAAATTTTGCTGGGCGATTAATTGTCTCAGAAATTATTGCGATAAGCGATAATATTCACTGGTGACCGTTTTACAACTAATAATTATATAAGCATAATATGTAAG